TTTTAATTTCCATTCGTCGGTCCGCCGTGTGAAGATGTTTTCTCTCCATTTAAGAAATATTTACAAGCTACTGTTCAAATATTGTTGGAAAAAAACTTTTACCGCGCCTTCTTTTTAATTTTGCGAAAATACCAAATAACACTTACCTTTTAGAAAATATTTATCAGCCACGGTTCGAAAAGTATTTGCAAATAACTTAAATGCTGCAAATTTTTTAAAATCGCCAAAACACCACAAACACATTGAAATTTCGAAAATTGTCATTACAACTCGTTTGCCCATCGTGTGTGGTTTGCCCATCCTTTAGAAAATATTTACTAGTTACGATATAAAATTCGTTTTATCGCAGTTTTTAGCTTTTGCTAAAATACCAAAAATACAGGTGGCGCAGGGAGACGGGAAATTTTGAATTAACGTTATTTGCACGAATAAATTCATAAAACAAATAATTCAGTAACGAAAGTGCACGTATTCAGCATGCTATTTATGTTTTTACGATCGAAATGTCCAAAAGTGTCTACTTTTTAAAGAGGACGTCGGAAAGATGTGCTCCTATTCGGTGTTCACATTCTAACAGCCTGTTATCGGCCTTTTTTTTTTTTTTTTTTTTTTTTTTTTTTTTTTTTTTTTTTTTTTTTTTTTGCTTGTGAGGATGGTAGTGCCGCTCGATATTGTAACGAATATTATATCATCTGCCGGGATTCGATGCGTGAATTGCGACATCTGCCGGCGCCCCTCGAAATGGACGGTTCCGGTTTAGTCGCGAGTCGCATAGAGGCGTGGCGCAAGTTCCGGATGTGTCGAGACGGACGCCAGCCAGGTATAAATTTGCCGCTGCCGGCGGCCGCGAGTCAGTCAGTGAGTAAGCAGTCAGTCAGTTGGTTGGTCAGTGTACGTAGTCAGTGAGTATGCAGTCTAAGTCAGTCTGAAGTGACTGTTATGTGTGCATTGCAGTGAACAGTAGTACAGTAGGTGAACAGCAGCCTGAAGTCGGAAGCTGAGTGAAGTGTGCATCGTGGTGTATCGGACTGTGCGATAGTGTAGAAGAAGTGAATAGTGTAAATAAATAATCCTGCGAAGAGAGTCGTGTGTAAGGAAATAACCAAGTGAAGAACATAAGGACTGTGTAACCTATCTGTAAATAAATCGTGTATTTTAGTTTATCATTAAAAAATCAAATAAACGTCTTTGCAAAATATTACCTGTGTCTTTAAATTCGCCACCGAGAAACGTTACAATGTTCAAACATTCTTTATACCGAGTCTCTACGAGCTTAATGTTAACATTGAAAACATGTGGGTCATCAGGACAGAGCTACGTCACACACTGCTCGACAATCGACGGCAGCAGTTCGTCAGTTGTTTGGAAGACGCATTATTTCACGTAACATTGACATTGAATGGCCTGATCCCCTGATCTTAATGCGTGTGACTTCTTCCTGTGGGGATATCTTAAAGGCAAGGTGTACCGTACAAGTCCTGCAACAATCCATGAACTGAAGAAGAACATTGAAAAAGAAATCACTGCCATTCCCCAAGATTTGCTACACCGCGCATTCCAGAGTTTTCATAACAGGCTGTTAGAGTGTGAACACCGAATGAGAGCACATCTTTCCGATGTCCCCTTTAAAATATAAAGAGACACTTTGGGACATTTTGATTGTAAAATCATGAATAGCATGCTGAATACATGCACTTTCGTTACTGAATTATTTGTTTTATGGATTTATTCGTGCAAATAACGTTAATTCAAAATGTCCCGTTTCCCTGCGCCACCCTGTACATTGAAAAAGAATTGCACTCGTTTGTCCATTATTTTAGGATGTTTGTGTACCCTTTAAAAATGTTTACTTGTGACTGTTATAAAATTATTAGCAAAATATTTTGTCCTGCCATTTTTTACATTTGGATAAAATACCGAATAACACATAGGATAAACACCTAGTTATTCCTAATTATTTGGAATGAGAATAGTTCCCTTCATTATGACGATAGAATATTTGTGACATTTCTTCCGACAAAATTTTCCCCGTATTCCTAATTTCATAGTACCATGTACAACTTTTGATCTCACTCCATGACATCTTGTAAGAACTTTAGAAATCTTCAAAAGCTTATTTCCTTTAAAGTAAAAACGAACTTCTGGTGCTACTGAGTAGCACAGAGTTTCCCATACTAGTTATTTTTTAAATTTATTATTTATTTTATTTTACTTCAAAAACAGTTCAAAACTGTGTGTGACGTGCTACGAGAAGTGTGCACGATTTCTTAGTTTTGGAATACCTACCCTAAACCAAAATAGTTGAATTCAGAATACAGAAAGAAATTAGCCTTTTTGACAAAAATTGTTAATAGAATATTCGCTCCGATGAAATAAATTCTATTTTCAAAGGCAAATCAGCTGCAGCATTGAGTTCTCATTCCTTCGTCAAGTAATATACTTCTGTCACGACGACATGGAGAACAATTTGAATAACTATTTTTCCCACTAAACTCTAGACGTGCACAAATAATAACTTTACATTTATGTCCAGAAGCAAAACAAGGTCCCATCTCAGCATTTTCTCAAGGAATCAGGGAAACTGGATGAAAAACGACTGATGTGCGGGTCATTGATCCAGAAGCTAAGATACAATATTTGTTACAGGTTGTTTATAATTATACAGTACAAATGGTAAATAAATCCCACCCACGTGATTCTTGTAAGCCACTCTTTATTAATCTAGGTATTTTACCATTACATTGCCTCTTCATTTATGAATCAGTGATTTTTGTCAAAAATGACTTACTTAAGGGAGGAATATATTTTCAGCAAACGCCGTTGTCTATAACTACAACACTCGTATCGTAATCATATTCATCAAGTGACAGTATCAACAGCTCGCTACAAAAAATTCACGCATAATACATGTACATTATTTTGCAACACCTTGCCAGATGGCATTAAACGAATAAATTCGTTGCAAAAGTTTGTGGTAAGTAAAATATTTTCTGCTGCACAACTGTTTCTATACAATTCTACAATTCATGTATACTGAGCGTCCAAAAGGAAAGTAATATTAATTTTAACAATGACATTTAATATATTATTTACCATTTGGTTTGTATTATTCTAAAGAACCTGTAACATGTATTGTACTTCAGCTTCTGGGTCAATGACCCCCATCTCAAACAGGTTTTCGTCCAGTTTCCCTGATCCTTGAGCAAATGCTGAGATGGTCCCTTGTTATACTTCTGGACATAAATGTAACTTCTAATTAACGTCTCCCCATAGCACGCCACACACAGTTATTTACTGTTTTTGACGTAAATGAATAAATAAAAAGAATACATTATATAGTATTGCTAAAATTAATATTAATGTTCTTTCTGATGTTCGGTACAGCCTCTCATTGTATAGAAACAGTTATGCACCAGACAATATTGTAACGTTTCACGGTGGTAGCCAACAAAGGCAATATTTAAACAAAAACGTTTATTCGTAATCAATTATACACTAAATACTACTGGATCTATTTAGAGATAGATTACACAGTCCTTGTGTTCTTCACTTAATTATTTTTCTTACACACGACTCCGTTCTCTTGATTATTTATTTACACATTCTTATACACTATTTATTTACACTGTTCTCTGCAATCTATACTATCGCACAGTCCTATGCACTGTCCACGGTCCACTGCGCTGACCACAATTCACTGCGCAGACCACAATTCCCTGCGCAGACCACAATTCCCTGCGCAGACTACAATTCCCTGCACTGACCACAATTCACAGCGTTGACCACAATTCACTGCGCAGACCAGGGTTCACTGCACTGCTTTTTACCGCGATGCACACTTCACAGCTCAGCTTCCACTGCAGACTTTAAACTGCTGTCTGCTGTTCCCCTACTGCACCACTGTTTACCACGATGCACACTTCACAGCTCAGCGTCCACTGCAGACTTCAGACTGCTGACTGCTGTTCACCCACTGCAGCACTGTTCACCGCAATGCACACTTTACAGCACAGCTTCCATTTCAGACACACTGACGTACTAACTGTTTATTCACTGATTACACACACTAACTGATTCGCAGCTGCTTACTTCCGACTACTACTTGACTTCTGACTGACTTATACTGACGTACTTACGCTGACTAACTTACACTGACTGACTAACTTCTTACTAACTCGCGGCCGCCGGCAGCGGCGAATTTATACCTGGCCGGCGCTCGTCTCGATACCACCAGCACTTGCTCCACCTGGCGACTCGCGAATGGTCCGGAACTGCCCAGTTCGGGAGGGAGGGAACGGGGGGGGGGCGCCGGTAGATAACGCAATCCGCACGCAGCGCATTCCGGCAGGTGATGCAATATTCGTTACAATATTTTACCTGGGACTTACTCTTTTGTATCTATTTTTATCGATTAATGTCATCTGGCAAAGTGTTGTAAATTAATGTACATGTCGTTAGTTTGTTTATCTCTAGACTGAGATGGATTCTCGCTTTTGAGCCACCCCCTTCACAGCTGCCATATATTGTAGCCTGAAAGATCCTTTTTTACATTTTTTCATTTTTTTCGGACTCCTAATGATAGAATTTAAGAATTATGAAGAATAGTAGAAACTTGTCCTATGCCGAAATTTTAATTTAAAAAATTTGGATTTGTTTATGAAAAATGTCATTTTAACAAATTTGAACTCATTTTCAGTATGGGCGGTTGTGTAACTTTTTATGTTGCTCTGATGCAGCGGTACCAGAGCCGGTGCTGGAAGTGGCATCCGGCGCAACCCTGACCCCGCCGCTGCTACCGATGGTGCTGGCGCCCGCGCTGGCTCCGACATTGCTCCTGCTGCTGCCCTGGCTGCTCGTGTCGCTGCTGCCGTCGCCGACGCTGTCAGGCGGCTAGCTGCTGCCGTCCACGCCCCATCGCCCCCTCCCCTTCGCCGTGCAATAACGCGATATTCCGCAGTCGGTGTGCGCGGACCCCCTCGAGCGCGCAATACGTATGTTTATCACGCAGGGCCGTTTCTTGAGAAAATGTAGGCCTTTGGCGTGGACTCGTTTTCTGGGTGTCGAATAGGGCAATGGTATTCAGCCTGAAATATACCCACGAACCAAGGTGCATAACGCTTATAAAACCTGGAATTTAAATTAAAAAATATTTAAAAACATAATACAATCTTTGTAAGGAAAAATTTAAAATATGGTAACGGTGCGTCATGAAAGAAAATAATTTGTCTGGAGGTATAGTACAAAATTATTTGATTATTACTGGAACAGAATGTCGGTCTCCTACTGTCCATCGGGGCTCTTGATTTTTGGAGTAAACGAGCTCTTTAATCAAGAATGTTTGAATTTATCCAAAATCAGCACGCACAGTCGGCATAATCATTTCCTTCGTCGGAAACGCAGAAATTTATTTTACCATATCTTTGATTCGGATTGCTATTGTATTACTGTAAATAACTCTCCCTATATCTAGCGCTGAGTGTAACCGAGTAGCGGTCTTGCGTATGGGGGTCTGCATATAATAGTATTAAATTTATTAGGATTGTTTAGTCGAGAAAATACTTAAAGATGTAAAATAAAACAATTGTCTTCGGTCGATGTTTTAGTCATCCATATGTTTGGGGAAATGTCTAAAGGTTCCAGAAAAATAACAAAATGCGATCTCGTGTTGGTTTAAAGTAAGTTTAAAGAACAATGTAAGAAATGTCCTAACCATCGGGTGAAGGTGCTTCCGGACTGTATATTTTTGTAGTGTCAGTGTGTACTTAAGAAAAAGCCAAGAAATGTGTGTCGCTTCGAACTCTGAGTCGTTTCTTAAGAAATTCTCGTGAAGGGGCGGGCGGGGAGGGCCACGAGCCGACGCTAAGCTGCGCGGGGCGGCCGTGCCAGCCCCCGTCCGCTCGCTCGCGTGCCGCCAGCCCCCACCTCTCGTCCAACTCCTGTCCGCGTGTTTGTTTCTGCTCCTCTTTCTAGGAAAAGCTGCTACGGCGACTTATTGATTTCTCCTCCTCCTGCATAGCTAAGGACCCAGCGACAGATGCTCTCGGAGACCTGCGTAACAGGAGTTCCGCTCTTTGTGTTCCCTTTCGCGAAAAAGAAGTATATTTCCCCTGCTCCCGAGGTTCCTCAGGCAGTCAATACAGAGAGAGCTTGCCACCGCGCAGTACGCCGTGGCGGCCCTACTGCCTGTGGCTTACTGCCTTAGATCACGCGCGTACTGATTGCGGCTGATGAGAGCTTAATTAATTTCAAACTTCGAGCGGTATTTTGTGCCGAATCTTAGCGCCCGGACGTTAATTACTCCATGTAATTATACTTGCACCAGCGCCGAATTCACGTCGCGTTGTAATTCCGGGCCGATCAGCAATGCGGGTCCGTGTTGCGCTGAAAAGCCTTTTGTCTTCCAGAGCGTGAGCTTGAACCTCCGCGCTAACGCCCGCTTCCCGCTCGTCATTTATTCTTTCGTACTTCGCAAGGCGTGACGCGCGTCTGTGAATGCGTTGACAGGTAGTATCTAGTCCTGTTTGTGACAGTTTCTTTTATTAGTAATACAATGGCTAAAGTGGACCATTCCACAAGGTTTTATCAAAAAATGGCAGAGTTGCAGGAAAAGCTGAAGAGAAGGTAAGGCTCTGTTGTAAGTGATTCCTCAAGAACAAAAAAATGTAGGTTAAACTGTTTGTAAACACTATTATTGATTATTTTCAGTGAAGAAGAAAGAATGAAACTCGAAGAAAAGTTTACTTTCATGATAAAATCATGTCGCGAGGAGTAAGATTTTTTTTGCTGTATATTTTGCACATTTGTTACTAATTATTAATGAAATATTCTGTAAAGCATTAAGAACATAGAAGTAATCTATTTTTTTTTATTTTAGAGAAGAAAAAAGAGTTCGTTCTCTGAGGGAAAAGTATGAGAAATTTTTAGAAGATGACAAAAGGCGGCGAGATCGTAATGAAAGAATATTACAAACTCTTGAAAAGATAGAAAGTCGCGCATCAGCATTGAGTGCTAAGAGTGAAAGGCTGAAACTCTTAAGAGTATGTACAAAATGCTTTGTAATTAAATTCAGTGTTTTTGTAAATAATGATAAATATAATATTTACTGAATACTCATTTTCAGAGACATTATGAAGCCTATCTTGTTCGAATGTATCCACTTTGGAAGAAACAAGTAAGTTCCACATCTCAGCCATCACTTCCTACAAATCATACTCTGACTTTACCAATGGATACAGAAAAAGGTTTGCCATGGTTTGGAGGTGGCAGTGGCCTGTATTCAAATAACATGCCTTTACCAAGTGCTCGGAGTTCTCTAAGTGCTGAAAGTGATCAAATGTGGGTGCCCCCAGTCTTGCCCAGAAATATTCCTATGTGTGATAATTCTAAACAAACTATTGTACATAAACCAATGGAGAGAAAAAATAGTGTAATAGAGAGTATCAACCCTGCTGTTGAATGTGCTTTGGACAATTATTTACAACGTGCTGCCGAATTGCTGAGAGTGCCTGTTGAAGAATTAGAGGATCATAGTGAGAAGCGTGATGAAGAGAAAAGTGTGCATACAGAACAGGACACAAGTCGAGATTTACTTAATGTTTCACTTTCTGATGATAGTATTCTTTTTGAAAAGAAAACGGAGAAACCCAAAGGAAATGCAATTATTGTCAACATAAAAGAAAATATTGAAGATATGATAGAAGAAGAGAAATATATTCCTGAAATAGACCATATGGCAGGTGGAGATAACATGATTTCAAATTTGCAGACTGACAGATTTCATCAGCAAAATGTTTTGAATCTATCCAAGGTGACTAGAAGTAGTCCAAGTGCAAGAGAGGAGAATATGTATAGTAATATTGTACCAGATATTACTAATGTAAACACAAATATTTCTCAAATTCAGTGCATACCATCAGAGCAAAACCTGTTGACTAATAATGCACATCAAAACTCAAAATTAAAAGAGGATGATAAAGAGAGATTAGAAATTTCAGATCTGCATAATTTACAAGTTATTTCAGATAAAAATATCAAGTACAATGATTTAGATAATATTGATTTTCAAGAACCATGTGCAAATGCTGCTGAGCACAAGTATGCTGATAACACCTCTACAAATGATGCTTATGAAAGTGTGCAGCATCCAGCTTCTGACTTACAACTTAATGATCAACTTAATTTACCTGGCACAGACACTGAAACTCCTAAAAATGTGGAGCATTTACATTATGATTTGGTGCAAGAAACAACAAATAAAGAACAAGAATGTTCTGAAAACATAGGTCAAAATGAGAATGATTTTCTCCTGCAAAACAGAGTTATTCCTCAAGAATGTATAGGAAGTGAAGATGGTACTTCTCTGGTAACAAAATCTGATGAAAAAGAGCAGCCTACTGTTACTGTTGATGAATCTCAAATAGAGAATTATAATCAAAATGAAGAAAATTTTGGTTTACAACCTAGTGATAATAATGAAAATTATGGACTCCAAAATGGAGATGATATAGAACAGTTTAAAGAAGAACATTGTGTTGAAAACTTTGATCTCCAGTATGAGCATTATCCTATTAGCACACAACAATATGAACAAGAGCAGTTTGTTGGTGATGAAACACAGCTTTATAATCAACAATATCCAGAACAACGCAGTAATGAACAATACATAGAAAATTCAGAACAGCTTGTAGAAGAATGTGTGAACAATGATGAATATGTAGATCAGTATGGACCCAGTGAAGAGGGGCATCTGGTAGATGCTAATCATCAAGCACTAAATTATCATGATGTTCAAGGGGAAAATATCAGTGAGGAACAAGTATATGGACAAAATGAAGACCAAACCTATAGTGCCGATTCTGAAGGAGAATCTCAGACACATGTATCAAGTTCACAATTTGCACCTGATGTAGGTATAAATGGAGGTGATGTAGTGAATATGTATCAGGCAGAAGGGAATGAAATACAGAAAGACAATATGAATGACCAAGAATGCACTTCACAAGAAAATAAACCAACACAAGACAATAATTACCTGGATGAAATACCTGAGAATAAAGAGGGGATAATAAAGAGCCATGTAATTCTTGAAGAAACAATGGGGAATGTAGAGGAAGAAAGTGAAGTTCAGGATCAACAATCTATAGATGTACATGTTACAGAGCAAGCTTTGACCCAACCTAACAATACTACAGCTATTGAGGATGACTCAGAAGAAAGTTCTGCAGGTTTCTGGAATCCTCCACATCATTCTAGCATCCCCAGTGTTGATGAACTTGCACCTAAGGCTGCTATTGCCATAGAGGACACTTCAGAGAGCTCAGCAGATTCGAAGCTGGATCCACCTGACAAGCCTCACAGTAAGTAATAAATTTAATTTGGAATTCTATATTGTAAGATCCTCATGGCCATTTTCATAATTTATAATATTGAGATGTATTAAGCAAAAAGGAAAAGTTTTGAAACATTGCGCACATTTAATGAAAAGTAAACAAATTGTTAGAGGCTCACTTTTGGTAAAACGCCAATTTTTGTTGTTTCTTCTGTGTTTAAAAATTCAGTATTTAATTCAACATTTTGTAAAGAATATTAATTGCAACAACCAGTTATCACATTTAAATATAAATAAAATTAAGTTTACTGATAAATTATAACAAGTTCAATTTTTAAAAAAATTTTAGCATGTAATTTGTAGAAAACCCAGTTTTTTCTCTTTTTTTTTCACAAGAAAATATTTAAAAAATAATTCAACATTCATTTTGTGCAGCACTTTTCAATATTTTTTTTTCTTAGTAATTTTTTACAAACATTATGAAATTTCATTTATTTAAATATTAAGTGAGTGGATTACTATATAGTGCTACCTATTAAAGTTGTTGTTGTTGTTGTTATTCTTCTTCTTCTTCTTCTTCTTATTATTATTATTATTATTATTGTGCCCATTTTTATTAGCTGTAAATATTAGTTCTTAGTATTTGTTAGGTTTGTGGTTTTCATGTAGGCCAGACCACGAGTTACAAATGCAATTCTTATTTATTTGAATGTGGGCGAGTAAAAGTTAACAGAAAGTCAAATATTATAGAGAATCAAAAGGTTTCTTGTTTGAAAATTTTCTTGAAGTGTAATCAATTTTTTAAAAATTATTATTATTCCAGAAAAAAGTATTTTGTTCTTCACTTAAAAACGAATGAAAATAATGTACTATTGATTGAGTTATACTCTCTTTATTATTAGTGTAACTTGGCAGTCTTAAATGTTCTGTACATTTTGAAGGAATTTGATGTTGACGTCACATTATTACAGTGACTGGAATGCTTTCTCTAAATTAAAGGTTAAAGCATTAAAACCATATAGATACAGTGACAGGTCTTAATGATACAACTATTTTCATCTCACAAAATTCACACATGGATTCTAGATCTATTACACGACTATTGAATAATTGCAGGGCAAGGAGAAAACCAGGTGGTGGGGCAGTTGATCCATGGAGGCCACTTTTTTTCAAAAAGATACTCTGTCCTCCAGGGGGGGGCAAGTCTTAGGTTTTTCATTTGTTACCTTCTTTTATTTGGCAAAATTGATTTAAATATTTATTTATGTTAGAATTATGTAATTAATTAAAAATAATATTATATAGTGTCATAAATACACTACAAAAATCATAAGCAATATAATAACAAATGTATATTATTTAACAAAAATCTATGATGGCCCACTCCAAAATGATCCTCTGGGTCCGCCCCTTTCCTCTTCCCCAATACATTGGAAGAATTCATATCTACATGTGTCAGAAATAACTTGAAGTCCTAAATTTGGATTAGAGGTAAAAATATTTTTTGTTATTCCACATTTTTAGTCTGTCATAATCAATCATAATTTTGGGAAGCATTAGGATCCATATTTTTTTGACTCACAATTTTTTGTAAAGTTAATTTATTCTATATTCGTAGAACAGTTTCAAAGATTGTTGTCCCCATCATCAGGCTGAAAAATTAAATTTTGAAATTACTGTGATGAAATGTAAAATTACTTAAAATATGATATTGAAATTGAGAAATTGACAGGAAAGAACTTCTTAGACACATGCGCACAAACCATATTATTTTTATTGTGACTTTCTAAAGCAAACGGTCAAAAGCAGACAAAATCAATGTCGTACGTTGGTGGGAGCGCTTGAAATAATGAGTTTTGAGAGCCCAGGGAAGTTAAGGCAAGAAAAGGGAAGGGGGAAGTTTTTGGTAGCACAAGTAAGAAGGGAGAATTATTTTTTCAATGTTTGACATCTATAAAGCAAAGGACCATAAATTTTTGTAAAATGATTATTCTCAACACCAGTATTAATACAATTAGAAGTTTGAATAAATTTTTTTTTAAATATTTTTTTACAATTTATAAATTTAATTTTGCACAATAAAATTTCAAAATTCAATTTTACAGCCTAATGATGTGGACAACAATCCTTGACACTGTTGCATGAATATAGAATAAATTAACATTTAGAAAAATTGTCTGTCAAAAAAATATGGACCCTAACCCTTCACAAAATCATAATTAAAAATAATTTTCACTTCTTTTCAATGAAAAAATAAAGTTGGGGGGCCCCAAATAAGGCAGGGCCTGGAAGTAGTAGTTTCAGCTGCCCATCTTCTGGACGTATCATTCAGTGATGTATTATTTGGTGTTTTGTTTTCTTCCATTTTTTTATTAATTTAAGGATGTATTAAGCTAATTTCCCTTTGTGGTAATTGATTTGACTTACAGTAAACATGTAAACTAAAAGACTTGCAATTCAAGGTAGATCTGATTTTCTTGAGAGGGAGGAGATATAACCCATAGCACCAAATAAAGTATGTACTGAAATTTATGCTATTACAATTAATAAAAATCTAATGATTTTAATGTGAACAATTTTAACTGTTATCTATATTACTAATTTCCAATGCACAAAGAAATTGAAAGGAAACTATGCAGCCTCCTGCATGTGAGAGGTGTGTATGGTTTTCTTAGAAACACAGGAACTCAGGAAAAATCAAAAAACAATGAATTGTTTTTGATTTTGATCGAAAAATGATAATATTTCATTGTGTTATTCCATTTATTCTGTTACTGCTCACACTGACTGAATTTTCATAGTTCATCATATTTGACATCATGCACCAGCAAGGGTCCATGGTAAAGGCCATCCACTATTAAATATTCTCATGTTATGTTATGAAACGGCACCTTTTTTGAAATTTTGTGGTATGTAAAGAACTTTTGTACTATTTATCTGTATATATTATATGTTATTGCAGTATTCATTAAGGCTGCTTTTGTTAATTTATTGCATTTAATTTATTACAGTGTTATATGAGAGTATTTTGTTCATAGTTCTTGAGTAGTGTGCATACCACTTTTTGGAAAATCATTTCGAAATTTGTTGTTTTGTTCAGAAGCATTTTTGCTGCAACAGGTCACTAGATATGAAATTTATTACAGAAACTAATTATGAAATTTCATCAGTGTTTCTAGCTTGAAATCTCTCTAATGATGAGTTAAGCACTTTAAAACCAAAATTTTTAATATGTATTTACTTATTCAAGAACTAAAAAATGTAGAATTGTTTTAATCACTACTTTCTTCATTTTTAAAATGTGATCCTAATTTTCTTTTTGACATATCACTGGGACATTCCTGTGAAATGGCATTTTCCACAAGTCACTCAGAGTTTGGGGTATCTAGCACTGCACCTCTGGAACACTTCCTGTGTAATGTTTTTTCTTTTTATTGAAACTATTGTAATTTTTTCTTTGTTATGTAATATGCCAGTGACAGAAAATCTTAGGAATTTTAGTATGGTATCAAAACTGTTGGACTCAATACCCCAGAATTGATGTACTGGTGGAAGTAAATTTCATGCTAGGTAGCACGGTACTAAGATTATTAGAAAGATAAAATTAGATTCAAAAACGAAAGATGAAGTACATTTTAACTCATCTTAATAATAATAATAATAATAATAATAATA